CCTCCGGGCTGGGGGCGCCCGCGTCCCGGCCTCCGGGCTGGGGGCGCCCGCGTCCCGGCCTCCGGGCTGGGGGTGCACGAGCCCTGGCCAGCACGGCCTTAGGGTGGATGGGGCCCTGGCGGGTCAGGGTGCAGGGGTTGGTGGGGGGTGGACAGCCTGCCGTGCCAGGTTCCAGCCTGTCACCTGCTGCTGCCCACCACAGGACTGTTCATGGTAGCTCAGTGACTGACAGCGAGGGCCGGGCTGGCCACTTGCTGGGAGTGAGGGCCGGATTGGCTACTCACGGGTGGTGGTCCCCGTCCAGGGGTCAGCCTGGCGCCGTGAGAGGCAGCTTGAGCTCCCGGCCATTCCCAGGGTCCTCTCTGGACTCTGCTTTAAACTGGGACACTGGGGGTGGGGTCTCCTTGGAGGAGCAGAGGTGGTGGGGGGTTGGCAAGGAGATCCTAGAGATTTGACTGGAGAGAAGAAAGGACCTGGTGTGGGTGAGGGGACCCTGTCCCTCAGCCCGGGTGAGCTACTGGACTGGGGATCTACAGAGAGGCCCCGGCCCTGCTGAGGCTCTGATCCATTCCAGCCAACTATGCTGAGCACTGGTGCTCACTCCTGAGGAGGACTGAGACCCCCTTCGGCAAATGCCACCTGGCCGTCGACCCCACGGAATACTACAAGGTGGGTGTGCAGTGTGCAAATGCACAGTGTGCTGCGTTCAGTTTACAGTGTGCAAATGTGCAGTGTGCAAATGTGCAGTGTGCCATGTGCAGTGTGCAGTGTGCCATGTGCAGTTTACAGTGTGCAAATGTGCAGTTTGCAGTGTGCCATGTGTAGTTTACAGTGTGCAAATGTGCAGTGTGCCATGTGCAGTTTACAGTGTGCAAATGCACAGTGTGCAGTGTGCCATGTGCAGTTTACAGTGTGCAAATGCGCAGTGTGCAGTGTGCCACGTGCAGTTTACAGTATGCAAATATGCAGTTTGCAGTGTGCCATGTGCAGTTTACAGTGTGCAAATGTGCTGTGTCCAGTGTACTGTGTGCAGTGTGCAGTGTGCCTTGTGCAGTGTGGAAATGCACAGTGTGCAGTGTGCCGTGTGCAGTGTACTGTGTGCAGTGTGCCGTGTGCAGCATGCTGTGTGCAGTGTGCAGTGAACTGTGTGCCTAAAGCAGCCCGGGGGCTTGTTGCTCCTGGCTGAGCCGGCATGTTCTAGGTGTGTGTGTCACACTGTGCGTGCGTGCGTGCGCAGCTCTCAAGCGCACAGGTGGCTGGCCACTCCCCTCACTGTCTGCTGCCTTATTCTGCTGTCCAGAGGTGCAAATATGACACGTGTAACTGCCAGAACAATGAAGACTGCCTGTGCGCGGCCCTGTCCTCCTACGCCCGGGCCTGCGCGGCCAAGGGCGTCATGCTGTGGGGCTGGCGGGAGCGTGTCTGCAGTGAGTGCCCCTGCATGCTGGGTCCAGGCCCAGAGCCCGGGAGGGGCAGGAGAGGGCTGGTCCCTACGGGCCCCCTGCTGCCTGCTCCCAGATGGGCAGGGGTGCTGCACGGAGTGGGGTACACCCATGTCTGCCATCCCAGGGACAGACTTTGGGAGGTCAGCTAGTGGCCAGCTTTGGGGGGGATCAGCTGGGGACCAGCCTTGGGGGGTCAGTTGGGGGTCAGCTTTGAAGGTGGTTGCTGGGGGGGTCTACTTTGGGGTGTCAGCTGGAGGTCAGTGCACTCACCCTCACTCTGGCCCTGTGGTCCCCCCTAGACAAGGACGTGGACTCCTGCCCAACCTCCCAGGTCTTCCTGTACAACCTGACCACCTGCCAGCAGACCTGCCGCTCGCTCTCCGACGGGGACACCCACTGCCTCAAGGGCTTTGCGCCGGTGGACGGCTGCGGCTGCCCAGACCGCACCTTCCTGGACGAGAAGGGCCGCTGCGTGCCCCTGGCCAAGTGCTCCTGCTACCACCATGGCCTCTACCTGGAGGCTGGAGAAGTGATCCTGCGGCAGGAGGAACGCTGGTGGGGCAGGGGTCAGGGGTCAGCGGGGGGGTCAGGGGTCAGCGGGGGGGGGAGGAACAGGATGGAGGAATGGCTCCGGCTCTGCTCCAGGTCTCTGCTCCAAAGCAGACCTTGGGGAACTCTGTGTGGGGAAAGAGGGCCCCACAGGGGCAGAGATGCTCGGAGCGGGGGTCCCCGGGCAGCCGGCTGGCCGTGTCCGTAGCGGCGATGGCGTTCTTGTGACCGTCGTGAGTGGGTGCAGGGCCCGGCCCACTCACCCCCCCCTCTCTCATAGTGTTTGCCAGAATGGAAGGCTGAACTGCAGGCAGGTCAAGTTGCTTAGCCAGAGTAAGTGCTGCCTGCAGGGCGGGGGGGTCCCGCCCGGGAGGGGGGTCCCGCCCGCGGCCCCCTCCCCTCCACTTCCCCTGCCTCTGCCTGGGGCTCCAGCTGAAGGCCGGCCTCCGCCCGCAGGCTGCAGGCCCCCGAAGACCCTCGTTGACTGCAACAACCTGACGGCTCCCGCCACGCAGAGCCCCCGCCCGCGGGGCTGCCAGGCGCTGGTGGCTGGCTATGTGCGTGTTCCGGGGGCTGCAGTGGGCGGACAGGCTGGGAGGGTCCCTGGCTGCCTGAGCCGGTGGGGGGGGGCGGTGAGGCCTTACCCTGCCCCACCCACCAGCCTGGCCGGATGGAGGGTGGCAGTGTGGTGAGGGGCATGCCCTCCTGGGGCCGGAGGCCATTGCCGGGACTCTGGCAGCCAGCGGGGGGCGGGGGGGGCTGAGGGTGGGAGGGTGGGAGTCAGGGGCCCCGGGGCGGCCCCAGAACTTCGCGGGAGGCAGTGAGGACCTAGCTCAGGAAGCCCTGCTTTGTGCCGCCCCCAGTACCACACGGAGTGCGTCAGCGGCTGCGTGTGCCCCGGCGGGCTGCTGGACGACGGGCGCGGGGGCTGCGTGCCGGAAGAGGCGTGCCCATGCATGCACAACAAGGACCTGTACCTCCCGGGGGACCAGATCAAGATGGACTGCAACAACACCTGGTGAGCAGGCCCCGCCTGGCCGCTCCTCCAGGGTGGGCCGAGGTGGGCGTGGACTCCGGGGGGCCACAGAGGGCCCCAGTCCGCAGCTGGCCTCCGGTGTCTGCAGAGGCCTCGGTGGGCGTGGGGCCTTTGGGACGGCCGTGCACTGTGGTCACACGCACCTGCGTGAGCTGCCTGGGCGCCTCTCAGCTCCTCCTGCTCCCCTCAGCACCTGCCAGAGAGGACGCTGGGCGTGCACGCAGTACGCGTGCCACGGCACCTGCTCCATCTACGGGAGTGGCCACTACATCACCTTTGACGGGAAGCACTATGACTTCGACGGGCACTGCTCCTACGTGGCTGTGCAGGTGAGGCTGGGCGGGGCCGGCGCCTGTCCGGACACCTGGAGGGGCTCGGGGTGGGACCGGCAGCCTTCCCCGGCCCCAGACGCCCACCCCTCACCCTGCCTGGAGGTTGGGCTCCTAACCTCACACGCGGGTGGGCGTCCTCCGTTCTGTGTGTGTACGGGTGTACTAGTGCCTGTGTGTGCACTTGGGCGTGTGTGTATATGTGTGCATGTGAACACAGACCCAGAAAGTCTCCAGGCTCCCCCCGCCCCCTGTTTGGGAAGCTGTGGAGGGCTGTGGTTGGTGAGGCTGGGCGGGGGGAGAGGAGGCAGAGCCGGGGTTGGGTTGACCAGCGGGAGGCCCCAGCCCTGCTGGCAGGGTATACGCAGAGCACCCATGCTGTGGCCATCCTGCTGGCCCCTAGGACTACTGTGGTCAGAACTCAACCGGCTCCTTCAGCATCATCACCGAGAACGTGCCCTGCGGCACCACCGGCGTCACCTGCTCCAAGGCCATCAAGATCTTCATAGGCGTAAGCACCAGCTCCCCGGACTGGGGACTCCTTGGGACCCTCCCCCGGGACTCCTTGGGGCCCTCCCCCGGGACTCCTCGGGACCCTCCCCCAGGACTCCTTGGGGCCCTCCCCCGGGACTCCTCGGGACCCTCCCCCGGGACTCCTCGGGACCCTCCCCCAGGATGCCTCGGGACCCTCCCCCAGGATGCCTCGGGGCCCTCCCCCGGGACTCCTCGGGACCCTCCCCCAGGATGCCTCGGGACCCTCCCCCAGGATGCCTCGGGGCCCTCCCCCGGGACTCCTCGGGGCCCTCCCCCAGGATGCCTCAGGACCCTCCCCCAGGACGCCTCGGGACCCTCCCCCAGGACGCCTCGGGGCCCTCCCCCAGGATGCCTCGGGGCCCTCCCCCGGGACTCCTCGGGACCCTCCCCCGGGACTCCTCGGGACCCTCCCCCGGGACTCCTCAGGGACCCTCGGACGTGAGCAGTGGCCATCCTCTCCGGTGGACAGGGCACGGAGCTGAAGCTGGAGGACAGGCACCGGGTGGTGAAGCAGCTGGAGGAGGGCCGCCACGTGGCCTTCCTCACTCGGGAAGTGGGCCAGTACCTGGTGGTGGAGGCCAGCACCGGCATCATCCTCATCTGGGACAAGAAGACCACGCTCTTCATCAGGCTGGCTCCGTCCTACAGGGTGGGCGTCCGGCAGGGTGCAGCGCTGCCTCCCCGGCCCCCCCCGCCCCCGCCCCCCCTCCCCCTGCCCCCCACCCCACTCCAAGCCTGGGACTAGCTGGCTCGCCTCCCGCAGGGCGCGGTGTGCGGCCTGTGCGGGAACTTCGACGGCCGTACCAACAACGACTTCACCACGCGGGACCACATGGTGGTGAACAGCGAGCTGGACTTTGGGAACAGCTGGAAGGAGGCTTCCACCTGCCCGGATGTGAGCAGCACCCCGGACCCCTGCAGCGCGAACCCACACCGCCGCTCCTGGGCCGAGAAGCAGTGCAGCATCATCAAGAGCCGAGTGTTCAGCGGGTGCCACAGCAAGGTGGGCAGGCGTGGGCTGGGCATGGCCAAGACAGGTGGGCAGGTGTGGCCAAGACAGGTGGGCAGGCATGGGCTGGGCGTGGCCAAGACAGGTGGGCAGGCGTGGCCAAGACAGGTGGGCGGGGCATGGGAGTGGGCGGGGCCAAAACGGGTGAGTGGGGCACGGGAGTGGGCGTGGCCAAGACAGGTGAGTGGGGCACGGGAGTGGGCGTGGCCAAGACAGGTGGGCAGGGTGTGGGAGTGGGCGTGGCCAAGACAGGTGGGCAGGGCGTGGGAGTGGGCGTGGTCACAGGCGTGGCCATGGCACACAGGCCAGTAGAGGCCTCCTGTGGCTGAGGACCCAGCTCAGGCAAGGCCCAGCCTGCCCATGGCCAGTGAGCCTGTCTGTGGCCCAGAGAAGGAGGGCTGCAGCTGGCGGGTTGGGCTATGCTGCTATTGGTCCCAGGGTCCTCTCCACGTGTGCCAGGGTGGGGTCACCGGCTGCGTCCCCATGGGGTGCTAGTTTCCGAGTTTCTACACTGCACCCCTCACTCTTCCCTCCCTCCCTCGGAGATCCCTGGCTGGTCCCCAGCCTCCCCTACCTTTCCTGGCTCACACGTTCACCCGAGGGAGAAAGGACATAACCCACGAGGGTATGGGCCAGGGGAGGGGTGATTTTAGGATTGCCGTTTACAGCGGAGGCATGGAAGCTCCCGTGGGGGGGGAGGCCAGCCACGGCTGTGCATGGGAGCCACAGGGCCTCTCTGGGCCCTGGTTAGCCACGCGGGGCCCGGGGTGGGGGCAGGTCTAGGGGACTGCGTCCCGAGCTCCAGGGCCTGTGGGGAGGAGTCCTGGCGGGGGGCGGCAGCCTGGCCCCGGGCGGCAGCCTGGCCCCGGGCGGCAGCGTGGGCCCAGACACACTCGAGTCGGTCCCCCAGGTGGACCCTACCGTCTTCTACGAGGCGTGCGTGCACGACTCCTGCTCCTGCGACTCCGGCGGGGACTGTGATTGCTTCTGCTCGGCCGTGGCCTCCTACGCCCAGGAGTGCACCAAGGCCGAGGCCTGCGTCTTCTGGAGGACGCCAGACCTGTGCCGTGAGTGCCGGGCCGGGCCGAGGCGGAGGGAGGCCCGGGGTCTGCTACAGAGGGCGCTCCCCCCCCCATGCCGGGATGGCGCTGGCCCTCA